GCCCGGTATTTGAACCCCCTATGCCAGCGTCCTCCCTGGTTGACTATCGATAAGCTGCTTCGCCTCTGTGGGTCCCAGGCTGGCATCTTTGAAATGGGACAGACCTAGAGGCACCTGACCAGCTCCCTTCCGTCACCTGTGACTCACCTTTGAGGGTGCAGGCCGCTGAGGGTTGGGCAAGTAACAGGCCTGAGGGAGGCCCTGAGCAAGGGTAGCAGATGGCCCAATCTGTCGTGGAGCTGGAAAAGAAGTTGCCAGAAGATTGGGCTGGACTGGGCTTCATGCCGATCCACACAGAGACGGAAACCAAAGGATCTATTCGCCGGGGCTAGAACCCAAGGCCGTGGGGGGGGCAAATGGCACCGGAGGGTGGAGGGCTGGACTTGGAGGGCGGTGGCGGACAGATGGGGTCAGGGGCTGCTCAGAAGCCCAGAGAGTTCCAGCCCAGCTCCCCTGCGGCCCCCAGGGGGACCACAGGGGACACCAACCACTTTCCCGTCCGCCTCTCAAGCGGGATTAAACACGTGGACAAGGAGTAGACACAATGACAGCTGTAGCAGCTGCCACGTCGAACCCTGTCAGGCTTCTCTGAGCGTCACCTCACAAGCCCCCCCTGGGGCCCCCAGGTCCCCTCACGCTCCCCGTTTCGCAGCCAAGGAACCATCTGAACTGAGTGCGGGGGAGGGGAACCTCCCAGAACCGAGTGCGCAGCCCTCGGGGCAGACCGGAGGGGCGGCCGGAGTAAAACCAGGTGTGAGGTGCGTCAGAAAGACGGAACCTCCAGGGGCCTCCTCTCTCTCCAGCCTTGGGCACAGGAGCCCTCACCGGCTGCCCCAGAGTGGCTGCTGGAGTGACCGACCTGCTGGGCAGCCCGCTGTGGGGCCAGCTGAAGCTGGGGACGGGCCCCACACCAGGCAGTCAGGGGTCAGGGGTCAGGGGTCAGGGGAAGGACACACTCACAAGGAGAGGCGACTGGGTTTCCGGCAAAGCTCGGTCCTGCTTTCCAGTGAGACTGGCCCAGCGGGTGGGTGCGCAAGGGCTGCCCAGGCCCGAAGGGCCGCCTTCTCCTGGAGGAGGGGGCCTCTGGGAACCCCCTGGGACCCTCCTGCCTTCTTCCAGGCCCCTGTCGGCCCTTGCTGCTCCACCTCCCTGCGCATGGCTGTGCGGGGCCGGAGGCTTCCCCTGAGACGGCGGCCCACCCATCCACGCCCCCAGCCCCCTTCAGACCTGTGTCCACCCTCGGCCTGCAAGGCCTGCTCACCCGGCAGATGAACGGCCAGGCCTTGGTGCGGGGCCTGATGACTCGGGGGTGTTAGAGCACTCGATGATTGTGGTGAAATGTCCCAGTGTGACCTCCCACTGGCCTGGATGACAACGTGGCATCTCTGTCCCCAGAGTTGCTCCAGAGGAGGGTTGAGTCCAGGGAGGCACAGCACCCAGGACCAAGCTCTGCCTCCCCAGGGCCTGGCAGAATCCTCCAGGACCCAGCCCTCCAGCCCTAGCCTTTGCCCCCTCTTCCAGGAAGCCCTTCTGAACTGACCCACCCCTTGAGCACCAAGGCTTTGGCTTACTAGCCCCTGGGAGGCAGAGCAGAGCTCTCAAGTCAGAGTTTGGACCTGGGCTCTGTCCCTCACGAGCTGTGGGACCCTCAAAGAGCCACTAGCTTCCTGTGAGTCTTCCCTCTTGGGCTGTAAATGGGGACAACCTCTGCTGGTGTGCAAGTCTGCGGTGAGAACTCAGTGGGGTGTGGGCCCACCCAGGGTCACCAAGCCTCAGTGTCCACCTTCTCCCGCTCCCACCACACCGCACCCTGCCATCGCCCCTGTGAGGGGGGCCCAACAGAGCCCAGAGTTTCTTTGTAAAAAATTGTGTATTTATGTTACATGTTTAAACTCCAGTCACCTTCTGTGTACTCTCCATGTGGTGTAATACACCTCTTGAGAGGTTTTTACATCTCTCAGAACAGTTCTTAAACTTGTAAATTTTGATGCTTTTTAGTGCTTCTGCCATTTCTTGTTTCACCTCTTCCACATCGGCAAATGTTTCCCTTTGAGGATTTATTCCGCCTGGGGAAACAAACAGACAAAAAAAGATGTTCCCCGAAAGGCTGGGTGAATAGGGAGGGTGGGGCTTGGGGATCTGGCAGGTTTTGGTCAAAAACTGCTGAACACTCAGCGCGGTGTGGGCAGATGTGCTCATAAGTCACCCGTCATGAAATGGACAAACACGTTGAAAGCGTCTTCAAAAAAAACAAAACAAAACTGAAGCCAAATCCAGCCTCTCACAACAATGCCAGGTGGCACACTGATGCAGATGGGTTCCTGGAACACTCACCTAGTGGGGGAAGCCTGTACTACAAGGGGCCCGCCTTGCAGAAGATAATTCTGGGTTTTCTTGGGTCCCCCCTCACACCCGTCAGCCCCCTTTGGTGTCCTGCCCCCAGGTCCTCTCGGGGCCGTCCCCAGCCAGCCTACAGGTCTGCCCCTTGGACATGAGCATCGGGTCAGGGAAGTTTCCTGCTAAACACTCAGGAGGTGCTCGGCCACACCATGCGCCCCCTCTGCCCCGGGCAGCCATTCCTTCTCCTCACTCCTGTCGTACTGGGCGTGGCCCTGCTCAGGGCCGTTGCACTGGCAGCTCCTGCCACCTGGGACGTCCTTGCCCTAAGTTGTCGCATAGTGAGCTCCTGCTCTTTGCTCGGGTGTCCAGACTCAGGGCCACCCGCTCCAGAGCTTTTCCCGAGCCTCTCACCCGCAGCAGCGCCCCTGCACCCAAAGCCACCCTGCCCCACCCTCTGCGTTGCTTCGTTTACTCTCTAAACTTTTCCTGAGTGCCCATTAGTTCACTTGTCTGTGTGCCCAGGGCCCAGGTGGAGTCTGGCCCAGCAGGTACCCAAGGGGCGTGTGAGCCGGTGAAGGACTTAGCTGGTGAAGGGCTTCCATCAGTCACTGTTAGTGCTGGTGTGCTGGGCCCAGTGCCCCTACCGGGCGGCCCCTCTTCCTCCCCAGCCAGTGCTGGCAGGGTGCGCCCCTCTTACTAGCTCAGGACCACCCAGGGGTGACTGTGCTGACCAGAGGATTTTCCGCACCTGTTAAACTAGGTCTCTGTTCGGGGTCTGGGGCCCGAGGACACAGCTTCCACGGTCCCTGTTCTTGGCATCACTCACTTCACAGAGAGGGAGACACGAAGATAAGACTAAAGCATAAAATTACCAGGGTTCAGAAGTAGCTGGCAGCCCCTCCCCAGGTGAGAGCTGCACCCTGATTTGAGCTGAGGCAAGGGGGAGGGGGAGGGGACCCTGCTGGACAGGACAGTGGCCTGCTGGATAGGAGGTGATGCTTGGAGATGATAGAACCAGCATCCAAGCGCACCTCACCTGAGAGCGGCCAGCCCTCGCCATCTCACGCAGCAGTCCAGGGGCGGGGGACAGCTGAGACCCCTCGAGGATAGCTCTGCTCTGTGCCTCCCCTCGTCGGCCAGACCCTCGCCCCTCCGGGCCTCAGTTTCCTTATTTGTGGGGGATGGGTACTCGTTAGACCCACTCTCGGGGTGTGCTGAGCACCGCAGGAGGTGCACAGCCCTGCCCACGGCCGGCGCCCGTGGACACACTGCGATGTCTCCCCTCCATCGTCAGTGAAGCTCCTGGGCTCCCTCTGGTCACTGCAGCTTTCTGTCCAGGCCACCGCCCCAGGCAGGGGACGGCTTCCCTCTGACAACTCCGTGTCTGCCCCCCGCCTGCCAGGGGACTCAGACCTGGGGGCAGAGTGCGCACAGGGGTCACCACAGACATTCTGGGAGTCACAAAGTCACCAAGACCCAGGCTGAAGCAATAGGACACTTCATACCCCCCTGGCAGGGCCATGGGGACCTGGAGGAGGCTTGTTCTCAGGCCCCGGACGCAGCCAGCAGCGGAGGAGGCCCCAGACTGGGTGCCCCAGACCAGGTGCCCCAGACCAGGTGACACACCACTCCCGGGAGAGAGCCCTCACCTGCCTCCGCTCACTCTCACCCAGCGCCAGCTCCGCTCTTTGCCCCCAAGGTCCTGGGCCCCCACAGCTCTTCCTTTGTATCCTTTCCTGCCCCCCTGTGCCCCCTCACACCCCCCTGCTCCCAACCGGCCAGCGCTGGCCTCCTCGGGTCTGCAGCTTCCAGTTGTCTGAAGGCTAAGAAAAGGGGAGGTGAGCACCGTCTATGAAACAAGGGCTGGGCGACTAAAGGATGCTGGGAGCTCTCCTGCGGCGTGTATTCGAGTGAAGGGGCGGAACACCCACTGCGGGACCCAGTGGGATGGCAGGTGCGCAGGTGCGGGCGCGTTCCGAAGTCAGAGCGCCAGACGAGGGGTGTTTCCATTTGAACTGCTCTTCCCCCCACTTCCGGTGTGTGGGACCCTGAGTGAAGGAGGGGGTCCCCCAACACCACCTGCCCCAACCTGAGGCCAGGCCTGCCTGCCTGCCAGCTTCCCGGCCACTATGCTCAACCCAGCAGAGCTGCCCCACCGCGCGGAAGGACCCTTCGGCAGGCCTCCCGGTGGTTGGGCATGGGAGCGTCCCGGTCACCCCCTGGCGCCTCTGCACACACTGGGCCTTCTCCCCAGGACCACCGGCCAAGCCCTCCCTGACCATCGGCCTCGTCACCTCAAAAGACAAGGTCGCCAGAGATGACCCACAGCACCCATCCCCCAAGAATTCTCTGCTTTTAATCTTTCATTGGCGTCCCCCTATTTTCGCATCGCGGCTCCGTTGCTCTGCTGCCGCCACCACTCCCGAGCCAGCGGTGGCCTGGGCGGTGACCCTGCAGGCCCTCCCCGCCTGCTTCCCAAGACCCCAGCCCCCCAACCCCCGGGGGGGCAAGGAGGAACGAGAGAAAGGCTGCATCCTGTCCCCTCCACACCTCAGTGGGCCCCTGGCGGGGCCTGTTTAGCCACATCAAGTCCCCGGGCCTCCGCTGACCCAGACGTGAAGTGTGACAATGACAATAAGGTCGAAGGGCACACGCAGTGCTCAGAGCTCAAGAGAGGCCCCACTCGGGCCTCCACAAATGAAAGGCACGATTTTATTGTCATTACAGAAAAACCAGTGGAAGAAAAAAGGACTACCAAACTGTTTTTTTTTTTGTTATAATAATTATTTTATAAAGTCTTATCAGATACGTATTTCTTTCCCTCTCTCAGGTGGCAGGCGCACCTTCCTGGGAAGGAAGCAAACCCGGGAGCCCGGAGCGGCAGCCGCTGCCCCTGGAGTCTAGCCCTGTGTGGGTGGCGCTCTGCAGGCAGGGGGCGGGGGAGCTGCAGCTTGGGCTCCCTTTTCTCGTCCATTCGCCCACCCTCCCAGAGCAGGCCGGACGCAGAAGAGGGTGGACACATTCACAGGTGGGGGGTCAGCACCAGGACATCCGTGGCTGCCTCAGGTCCAGCACCCTGTCTCAGGATGGGGCTCTCCGCAGGGAGGAGCCAGAGAAGCTGGGGTCTCCGAGCACTCAGGGATCAGGGGAGAGGGGTTGGCTTACCCTGAGACCAACCCCCGGAGAATAAATAAATAAATACTGTAAAACTGTGCACTTCCCAGCCTGGCCTGCTCTCCCACCAGGGGACTGTCACTGTCAACCTCAGTTCCCCTGGCTGCCGTCCTCCCTGAGAAACACAGGTTGGAAGGAGGGGGCCCGCCCCGCCCTGCAAACTGAGAAACCAGGGCTGGCAGAGTCTCTACAGTTCTGGAGGCCACGGCAGGTGAGGGGGCGCCCGGCCCCAGCCCACAGGTGAGACAGATCCTGCCCGTCTCCCTCTGTCTCCGACACACGGCTCACCACCAGGGAGCCACATGGGAGCTGGGGCGAGACCTTCAGGTTGTGGGACACCTCCCCCCACCTCGCCCCCAGCCTCGCTCCTGCTGACTCTTCCTGGTCCGGCGCCAGGAGGACGTGGGCGCCAGGATGTCTGGAGGGGGGACAGCGAGAGCCCAAGTCCAGCTGGGGCCAGGGTTCCCCTCCCGAGCATGGCTGGGGGAGGCGAGGAGGCTGTGGGCCGGGTCAGAGCTGGAAGGGGTACTGCCGGAGGTAGTCGGCCATGCGCCGGGGCAGCGGCAGGCAGTCCACGTCGACCACCAGACGGTTGATGACCAGGCGGCACAGGTGCTGCAGGCTGCGGGTGCTGCTCCTGCGCACGAAGGGCTGCACCAGTTTCAGGTGCACGGCGGTGGCCGCCGGGGTGGGCAGCGCTGGGTCGCCCGGTGCATCCTCCTTGGGGACGGGCAGGGCTGGAGGCGGTGCAGGGTCCGGGGTGTCGCCTCGGGTGTCGGCGGCGCAGGAGGCCACGTAGTGCTGCACGAGGCTGACGACGTCCGGGAAGGCCAGGATGCGCGGCCTGGACAGGCAGTTGGAGTCCAGGCGGAAGCTGGAGTCGGCGTACTCGATGCGCACATTGGTGGGGCCGCGGGTGGTTTTGACCGACAGCGTGAACAGGTAGCTGGGGTGGGTGCTGTCACGTACTAGGAATGTGCCTTCTGGCATCTTCTGCAGGTGTTGCCGGGCCTCGCTGGCCGTAATGGAACCCCAGTACCAGCCTAGGCAAGTGGTGGAGAGGGGGCCGAGAGATTGGTCACGGTGGTAATTATCGGGGGGCACCCAACCAGCGCAGGGCGGCTCTGTCTCCCACTTCTGGCTTCCCTGGGGGGCGCTGTACCTCCCCCCACAGACTCTCCTGGGCGGGGCTGTGCCTCTTAAATCAGAATTAACAGTCAGAGCTAAGCTTCCTCCTTCAGGCTTCCCGGGTTAAAGCCTGCCCCCTCCTCAGACTTACCTGATTCCCGAAGGTAGGAGAAGGTCTTGGCTATGCACAGCAGATCTTCCTCTGGGTCTAGCACCTTGGGCTCACCCTCTGACTGGGCTGGGATCTCCTCTGTCACCTCCTCCAGGAGGGCCCCGGCAGGCAAAGGCTGCATAGCTGGCTCAGGCTGGGCCCACCGGGGCCTCTGCCCCATCCGATCCACAGCCACAAAAGGACGAGGTCTAGAACGGAGTGGGCGGGCAGTGAGTGGCGGCCCTGGCTGTCCCCACTTCAGAGCTCTCCTTCGCCCCAGGCCGGCTACACGACCCCAGCCCCTCTCGGTGAGCCTCAGCTCCCCGCCGGCCCACCCACGGGCTCAATGCGTCCAGCACCCCTCCTCCCACTCATCGTCACAAAACTCCCCGTGGCTGCTTCCCCCACACACGGGCTCCCTTTTGAAAGAGACGTCTCCACCCTCCTGCATTTGTTGCACAGTGCATAATCTCTCTCTCTTCTCCCTCTCTTGGGCACCCATCGAAACCACAGATCATTCCCTGTAGACATTCCTCACTCACAGCGGCCAGCTGGTGTCCTCGCCGCACTGACAGGATGCAGCGCGAAGACGCCTCACACTGGTGCCCTCCTGGCCGAGGTGCGCCAGTTAAATGCACTGGCCCGGTGGGGCAATGGGAGGGACCTCAGTCCACAGTGGGCAGAGCTTAAACAGGTCAGCGTCCGATCCTGCTCTCGGCTCCTCCCTGCTCCTCCCAGCTGAGCATTCCACGTGAGCAGCGGCCTCTAAAGGCGCTGACTCGTGCCACCTCCCGTGAACGTGAGCTCCTGACAAAGGGCGAGGTGCTCGTGCCCATCCCTGGTCCCACGCTGGCAAGCCAGCCCTGCTAGGCCCTGTGATCCCCTGCAGAGCTGGCTCTGCACCAGAACTGTCCCCACCCACAATGAGGGGTCCTAGCCCCCCCAGACACGAGGGCTTCAGCCACACGTTACCCTCAGATGGCAAGAGCTGGACTGCTGAACCAGTCCTCCTCTGAGCAGTAGCTTCCCTCTGGGGGAACCCCACCCAGCACGGCGATCCTGGGTTTCCCGGGAGTGAAGGGCATGGCCCTGGTGCCCGAGGAAGGGACAGCTGGTCCTCCCTCACTGCTCACAAAGTGCACCCTCAGGCTTCAGCTCTGGGCCTGGTTCCCCTCTGGTCCGAGGTCATGAACCCATGGGCCCGACCCTTGAGAAAAACTGATAACCCAGCCATAAAAGCAAAGGGTGTTGCGTGGGAGGCAGGGTCTCCCTGCTCCTGAGCCGACCCTGCCAGGCCACAGGAAGGAGTAGGGGGACGGCGTGGGTCAGCAGTGCCAGACACTGCTGGGGAGGCAGGAAGACGTGGGCAGGAGCCAAATCCAACCGTGAAGGTCAGGGACGACCCTTAGAAGATTTAAACAAAGAAGGGCCCCTACGTACTCAGGAGCAGAGGGGGCCACAGACCTTGGCACACTACACCTGTCTAATCCTTTCCCACACCCATTCTGGCTGCCCTAGGGTATGGGGGGGGCGGTGCTCTGCAATCCCACTCAGGGAGCTGAGGCCGGGTTCCAAGGACCTGGCTGGTGGCCTGCCTGTTGGGCCTCAGGGATCAGCTCCGGCCTGGGAATCTTCCAGCACGGTAGGCAGCTAGCCAGTCAGACTGGAGACTCTGGGGGTGGCCACGTCCGGACAACTTAGCAGGACACACATGGATGTGGGCGACTCTAGGGCTGACATGGTGTCTGGGTGTGTCCACGGCTGTGTCATCGTCACCGCGGGGGCGGGGGCTGGTGTGTTCCAGGTGTGGGTGGTGTGTACATGTGTGTGCCTGCTATGGAGCCCAGCCTTTGAGTCCCTCCTGGGGACACGCGCCAGTGAGGCAAACTCAGCCCTGAGGGGCCCCTCCACGGAGCTGGCAGCTCAGACCTACAGCGGGAGTCCCTAAGCCAGGAGGGCCCTGCTGGCCTGGGGCTGTGTGCATGGAGGTGTTAAAATCTTGCTCCCTGACATCCAACCCTGGCCCTGAGTTTCAGCTGAAGCAAAGTGGAAGAGAGTGTGGGACCCTGGAATTGGGGGTGGGGTGAGGGGCTCTGAGGAAGGCAGTGATGGGGGTGAGGCATTTAGGAGCCCCAGAATTCAGAGAGGAGGGAGACAATCCCCGAGACAATCCAGGGGAAGCACAGAAGTACATTCTTCTTGGCGCCCCCAGGTCTTCTCCCAGGAAACGGGGTGGCTCAGAGCAAGGTCAAGGGCACTTCAGCCTTGCCCCACCTTCTGTCCTTCCCACTGGGCACCACCCGGTTCTGATCATAGCAGCCACTGGGCCACCCAGCTGTCTCTGGGGATTTCTCAGCTGTGAGATCGCTCTGGAGAGGACCAGACCCCTTGGCTGAAGGTGAGGCTGAAGCTCTGGGTGGAAGGAACGTGCCAAGAACACTCGGCTAAGGCCAAGACTGTTTTATCCGCCCCGCCCCACCCCCACAAGTCTTTGGGAAACTTGGAGGAGAGAGGCAGGATCCTAGGCTGGGCTGGGAGGAGGGGTGAGGCAACTGTCGGGGTGTCCCAGGCAGGACCAGGCCAAACCCAGGCTCTCCCCCAAGAGCTGCTGGTCAGTAGATGCCAGCCCCAGGAGAGGCCAGCGTCTCAGGCTGGTTCCCAAGAAGAGACTAATTGCTAGCAGGCGGCGGGAGAGGAGATCACCGGACAGAGAGGGGGCAGGGGCTGGCTCAAGGTCACCAGTAGGCGCAGTGCCGGCAGGTTAGGGTAGAGCGCTCTGGGCCCAGAAGGGAATCTGGGCAGGCGAGCCACGTCTTCAAGGCTGTGCTGCCACTGGCGTCTACCTGCTCCAGCCAGAACCCAGGCTTAGCCCACCCTCTGTGCCTCCGCGCGCCAGCCGACCCCATTTCCCTACCCACCGTTGTCACCATTCCCTGTTGTCACCCCCGAAGTCCTGCCGTCCTCAGTCATCTCCAACCCGGCGAGCCCTGGTCCCCGGCGGCTAGCGCGAGGCTGGCTCTTTCCCTTGTCTCAGGACAGGGGCGGAGAACCGCGCTTACTCACCCCTGAACGCAGAGGACCATGTCCCGGCAGCAGCGGCGGCAGCTCGGGAGCTGGGGCTCGACCGGCCGGCGGCGGCTGGAGGGGGCCGAGCGAGCGCAGATCGCACGACCCGGGCGCACCGGCGGCGAGAAGGGACTGAGAGGCGGCGGGCGGGCGGGCGGGCGGGCCGGGAGAACGCGGGGGGGGAGGGGGGCGGGGGGCGGGCCGGGAGGGCGAGGCGGGGCCAGAGGCCTAATCTTTTGTCCTCCGCGTCCCAGCCCTTCCCGGAAGCCGCGTCTTCCTAGAACCGCGGGCGGTGCAGCCCGGCCGCGGAGGGGCGCGGGCGGGGGCGCCGGCTACTGCAGCGGCGGCGAGGGGAACCTCAAAAGGAAACACCTTTGACAGATTTCCAAGAACTTTCCAGGAAAACGAGGCGGGGCCCCGAGCTCAGACCAATCGCAGCGCAGGAGGCGGAGTCGAGTGGCCGGGGACTGACGCGAACGTGGGGGCTGGAGCGTGACCTAGACCAGACGAGGGAAAGACGTGTTTTGGAGGAGGCCAGGGAGGGGCAGGGGCTCTACCGACTCGAGTCCAGACTTCCTTCGGGCGTGGTACTTTGCTGGGGACAGGCGCCCTTATTTCTTGGTAGATGACAGCGCGTGGGCGGGGTCACACGCCTCCAAGGCGGTCTCCCTGGGGTGCAAGTGCCCCCCTCTTCCGTCCCGCATTTGGACCCCCGGCTCTGTGTGTAGGGTGGAGGGGCGGGGAGTGGCATGGAGTGGGGTTTGGAAAGGGATAGGGGGCAGAGGAAGGGGGGGGGAGGTCCCAGATCCAAGCAGGTCCACGGGGGTCAAGCCTGAGACTGCCACAGCCAAAAGGAGCCAGGCAAGGGCGTCGCCTCTGAACGTGTTTGAGGAGAAGGCACACGCCCCAACCTTTTGCACCTGGCAGGGCCATCCAGCCTCCACCCTGCTGGCTGGCCGGGGCCTCTAACCTGCCCGCTGATCGGGGAAGAGGTGACGACCCACTTGGGAGGGCCAGTCAGCCCCCACCTGACTCCACAGGACAGCCCACTTGGGTTTCTGGGCTGGTGGACCTTAAAAAAAAAAAATCCAGAAGTGAGACCTGGAGCTCCAGACACCTGGAGTTAGCTGATGTAGAGTGACGAAGGTAGAGGGACAGAGTGGTGACACTGGATTCCATCCACACGGAGCACTTGCTGAGTTTGGTCCTCAACAGCTGGTATTGCCCCCATTTTGCAGACCCGGAGACTGAGCCCCAGGGAACAAAATGGTTTCCTATGCTAGGAAATGGCAGGGTGGGAGTTCGATCCCAACTCTGAGTCGTGAGTTCATGCTCCTACCCGTGACCTTCTCCACTTTTTCCAAGTTCACTGGGCTCACCAAGGAGTGTGTTGAAAGACCATGGGAGCTATGCGCAGCTGTTCCAAGCCCTTGGGCCAGAAGGAGGGTGAAAGAATTGGAAAAGTGGAAAGGCCCACTCCCCCTTACCCCACTGCCCAGTGTATACCCCAGGTTCCCTGGGAAGAAGATGAGCTCAGGTCACCTGCTTTGGTGGCCGGGGCACCCGGGAACACAGTTCTTCAGTAGGAACTGTCTACAGCTCCATTACTATAAAGACAAAGGGATTCACAGCTGCCAAGGGCAGAGCTAGGATTGGAGCCTCGGTTTCCATGGGGCCAAATCCTAAACTGTCTACCCCAAGACTCTGCCTTTTCCCTCTAACTCTACTTTACTGAGTGCTTCCTATGTGCTGGGAGTTCTCGATCATTTCCAGCCTCCTTTCATTGTCTAACGACTACATACTGTTCCCTCTTTACAGGTGAGGAAATTGGGTCACAGAGACCTTGCAATGTCACCTAGATCTCACAGCCGGCAGGGGGTGAGTTGGGGCTTGATCCCCAGGGCCCCAGCCCCTCCCCCACTTCCTCTCTAGGTGCCTGTGACAGGCCAACTCCTAGACATCCTTCAGGATCCAGCTGAAAGGTCCTCGGTGAAGCTTTCCTGCCCCCAGGCCAGTCAGAGCACAGTGGGTGTCCCCTTGAAAGCCCCCCTGCAGATAGCCAGTGATTTTGCAGTTCTGTGTGTAAACTAAAGGGTCTGGAGGGTTTTGCATGGCAACCACCCTTTGTAAACTTGCCAGTGCTATGCACCTCACCTGGTGCTGGGAACAGCGGTGTGCCCCTGGTTTTCCCCAGGTGCCTGCCTGCCCCAGGTGTTGGGGGTGAGTAACCTCTGGCCGTGTCATTATCTTCCCCACCTGGGCAGGCCCTTGCTGACTGCTGGTCCCACACTGCCACCCAGTGGCAATTCCTCTCCCGAGTTCACGGGCCCAACGCGTAGAGTCTGCCTTGGAGGGTAACCCTATCCTGCACCCCACACTTGGCCCTTGCTGGGGATCTCCCTGCCCCTCCTCACCCTGAGCAGTCAGGAGAGGGGTCACAGAAGTACACTGCAGTTTCTTCCTCAAAGTCTGGCTCATTTGCTTGCTGTATTCTCACCGTGTGCAGCCTCTCTCGGAAGGACAAACGGCGGGGGGGGGGGGGGGGGGCGGTGCGCGCGTTAGGGGGACGGGGCGGGTTTGAAGCTCTTCCAGAGGTCACTGGACCCCTGGTCACTGTAAGCCATTCCAAAGGCCTCAGCCCCACCCCTGTGGACACACAGCCATCACGAGGGCCGTGTGGTAGAGTTTGCGGCCATGACCCCACCCCCGCCCCTGCGCTGCCATCCCAAACACCGAACCCTCCCTTCAGTGCGTGGGCGGATATGGCAGTTAGCTGCCGGGCCGTGAGCAGCGAGGGGAAGCCCGGCATTCTGACCCCGGGGTCAAGTGAGCAGTTGCCAAACATCTGTCTCTGGGGGGCCCATGTGGGGAATGTGTGTGCTCGCGTGGGCACTGGCCTCGGCTGTGGAGACCGCAAGGGTGGGGGCGTTGGCAGTGCAGACTTTTTACCTTTCTGTATACTTTGAATTTATTATAATAAGCAAGTTTTACTTATGCAAATAAAATTTGTAAAAATCCTCACCAGAGGATATGTTTATTGATTTTTTAGGGATAGAGAAAGGTGGGGGGGGTATCAATGTCAGAGAGAAACATCAATCAGTTGTCCCCTTCCTCCCACACCCCATAAACACCCCAACTGGGAATCGAACCCACAACTCACGTATGTGCCCTGACCAGGGATCAAACTCACAACCTTTTGCTGCACAGGATGATGCTCCAACCAACTGAGCCAACTGGCTAGGGCTATGCAATTAAAATGTTTAATAAAAAAGACACCAGTGTAAAAAATACAATTACAAAAATCTTAGAAAAACTGTGATCTAATTAACTCCATTTTTAGAAAGCACATTGTCCTGCAGGGGTGTCCGATCTTATGGCGTCTCTGGGGCACACTAGAAGAAGAGTTGTCTTGAGCCACACATTGAATACATTGTGACATGTAATTACACACACCAAAAAAACTCATAAGATTTTAAGTACATTTACAATTCTGTGATGGGCCACATTCACAGCCATCCTGGGCCACATTCGGTCCATGGGCTGTGGGCTGGACACCCCTATTTAGAGCATGTACTGAGATGCCCTTGGGTGGGGGGAGGAGCCAGCCTCCACCCTCTGCTGCCACGTCCTCGGCTTCTGAGTGGAACTCTGCTTGCTCAACCTTGGGTTCACCTGGCTCAAACCAGTGGCCTCCAGGGCCAGCATCCTTCTCCAGCTTTCAAGCAGTGGAAGCTTCCAGATCTCAGGGCTTCCTCCAAGGCTCTGAGATCTTGGATCGGATTCTCAGATGGGGCTCAGGGACAGAGGTCCTGCATCCAGCTGGGCATAAATGTGTGAGTGGGTGCGTTGTGTGCTTGTGCATGCTGACATGTCTCTGCATGGGTGTGTGCATGTGTGTAAATGTGTGCACCTATGTGCGCCTATGTGAACCGTGTGAGGGTATGTTTGTGCATGTGGATGTGGATGTGGGAAGGGGATCAGGGAGGCACGCAAGAGGAGGCCATAGCTGGAGGGTGAGAACGGGACCCCGGAGTTGTTCTTTGGGGTTGGGATGGGGGCTCTGCCATGATAGCTATTGACCTCAGGGTTCCTTTGTTTTGTGTGTCTGTCGTGTAGGCTGGACGGCATGGGTACAGCCCTCGCTTCCTCCAATCCAGTGAAGTCACTGGGTGCCTCCCATCGAAGGTCTGAGCTGAAAGCAGTGTTCAGTAGGTCAGTTGAAGCTATCATCATGGCCTCCTGTTTCACGGAACCCCGCTGGTTTGAAGGTCCCATTAAGGAGGCAGGGAAGAACCGCCCCACCCATCCAACTCAATGCCTGCACACAGTGGGCACTCGCTCTCCAGGGGCTGCTGCTTTGAAGAGCCAGGACCTGCCGCCCAGGCGTCCACGTGCACCTGTGTGCTGGGGCATCAGAGATACCTGTGGGTGAGACCGAAGCGCCGGAGCCTGCAGTCCTGGAGGTGGCCTGTAGATGGCAGCAGAGGCACGTGCAGGGATCCCGTACCGAGTCGCACCTCCAGTCTCAGGTAAGCCAGCTACCTGGTCCCGGTCCCTCAGCCTCTGGGCTGGGGGTCCGGGTGAGGGGAGGGATGTGCAGGAATAGTGCAGATTCGTCCAAGGGGTCAGCAACACCCCCTGTGGCTCTAGACAAGTTGTTTCTTCTCAGGGGGCCTCCACTTCCTTCGTCTGTGAAATGAGTTGTTTAAGTGCGTGTAATGGGAAAAGGGCTCAAAATAAGTAAGGAAGTCTAAGATGAACTCTCAGAATAAACCTAAATGGGAAGGGAAAACCACAAAGCTAATAGAGAATATCTGCCTTTGAGGTGGGAGGAGGAGGCGTTTTAACCTCCAAAAGCCCAAACTAGAAAGGGAAGAGTTGATGGCTCTGGCCCAATGGGAATTTAGAATTTCTGGTCCAAGGATGTTGCATCCCAAGGGAAATAAATAAGCCAAGGGTATGAACAGGAGGTGCACAAAGGGGACAGACGCCAGTGCCCGAGAGACGCCCAGAGCCACCAGGAACTAGAGAGACGCCTTCTCACTCAGCATCTAAGTCCGCCGGCGGTAGGACCCCACGAAGGAGGTCGCAAGCCTGACAAGCCCTATTGGAGGCCCGCCTGGCAACCTGCAGAGAAAACACCCGACTCAAGCGGCGAAACAAGACTTCCTGCGCTGTCATGTCATAGGTCGCTTGTAAAATCCTGGGTTTGCACAGACCCCGCAGAACCCCGCGGCTTTCCCGCGGGGGCGGGGCGGGTATCCGAGCTCCGACTCTGGAGCCTAGCAGGTTGCCGCCCACTCGGGAAGCCACACCCCCTGTTACGTCGCGCTTTGGGAGGGGGCCGGCCTAGGGCTCCCGCCCCGCCCCGCCCCGCCCCGTCCAGTCTCCGAGCGCCTGGCCCTTTAAGGCTGACAGAGTTGGGCTACCAGTCTGGACGCGCGGGGGAGGGGGTGCAGTCACGTGGGTCGCGGGCGGCTCGACTTGCGGCTCTCGGTGCTGTTGGCCGCCGGCTCCCGACCCCGCCGCCCCTGCCCTTCGCCCGCGCCGCCTCCAGGTGCACTACTGTCAGGTACGCCCTCGCCAGGTACGCCCTCACTGGGCCCCCCCAGCCTCCCGGTCCCGGGATCCCTAGGCCACTCCGGTACCTTCCCCTCCTGATAGGTGCCCGGGCCGGATTCGCTGGTGCCCGGCGGCGTGACCACCGCCCCCTGCCGCGCGTCCTTACTCTCGGACAGTTCTTCCCGGGTGCCCAGCGCTGTCCCCAGCGCTCAGCCCCGTCTACCTCCGGGGCTCCAAGGCTGGGGTGTGTTGGAGGAGTCTGGGCGGAACTTACTCTTCCCGTCTTTTCTAGGTGGCCCTGCACGCGCCAGGCTGGGGCCGCCTCTGAGCGCCCCGGGGGGGCCATGGATGGTGAGACGGGAGAGGAACAGGAGGGCCCGTTGCCGCGGGCAGGTGCACCTTCCGGACCCGGCCCAGCTGGCTCTCCGGCCCTCGCGGGGCGGCGGGAACCCAAGAAGTACGCAGTGACCGACGACTACCAGTTGTCCAAGAAGGTGCTGGGCCTGGGTGTGAACGGCAAGGTGCTGGAGTGCTTTCACAGGCTAACGGGGCAGAAGTGTGCCCTTAAGGTCAGTGACCCCCTCCCTGCAGCCTGGGCAACCTGCAGGGTCCAACAGCATTGGCCTGTGGGCGCACAGTATGCCCAGGGCCCCTGCTGCTGTGCTTCGTTCATATGTTCTGCATCACGTTTCCTCCTCACCGTCCCCTGTAGGCAGGCTCCTCGCCCTGGGTGCTCCTCAGGTGGGAAACTGAGACTTAGCTAAGCTCCTGATATATCCCAGGGAGCAGTGGGTGGAGTCTGTTCGGCTAGAGCCTGCTGTACCAGGAAGCAGGGAAGGAGTGGTTCCTGGCTCTGGGGTTCTGGCTGCGCCAGTGTGTTCCCGCCCAAAGGGAACCCTCTTTCCATGAGAAACTCTTCTGATTGGAATGGGTCGGACTTTCCCTCTGTCTGAGGCCCAGTCACCGCCAAAGCCTGGGGTGGGGCTACTTTCTCCCGTGGCCTCTGCATGCCTGGGCTGGAGTGGCGGGAGCCTTCCAGAACTGGCTGGTGGGCAGGAGGCTGCAGATGGGCTCCAGCTGAGTCACGGCCGGGCTGATAGGGGCAAGCCCTGCTCCGGCCTGAGGGCAGGCCACCGAGGCGCACCAAAGGCTCCCAGAGGCCGGGCTAGGACCTCAATGACACAGGTGGAATCTGGGGAGTCCTGAGGGTGACTGATCTAGCCACCTAGTTCTGGCTTCAGTCACTCAGTTCTGGGCCCAGGGCCCTTCCCCATACCCAGAATCCCTTGAACCTGGGAAATTCAGTCAATTACAGTTTGTGCCGGTGGCCACCTGGATGGGCAGAGCATGTCAAGAAGAGCACATCATCTTCCCACTTTACAGGTGTTATCGTTATGAGCCTGAGCTCAGGGTCCTGCTCTAATGTCTGGCCTGCATTTGCCAGCTCTGTGGCCTTGGACTGGATTCTGGAATCTGGAAACCAGGTCTCTGCCTCCGTTCAGGGGAAGGCCAGGGCTCGGCGTGAGCCCTGAATGAGAGGATGTGCGCAGAGTAACTGGTGTGGAGCCCGACGCTGGCCTGGAGAGGCTGCAGGACTTATTTAGGGCTCAGTGTCTGCAGGTGTGTGAGCGGGAACCTGGGCTCAGCCCCCTGTGTCTTTCCCAGGGGCACGAGGGCTGACGGAGCGGGTTGCGCCCTACGGTGGTCTCGGAAGGGATCAGGAGGCTGGGTCCGGAGGAGGCTCAGGGCTGGGCTGCTGAGGCTGGGACTCAGACACAGCTTGTCTGCCTACTAAGCCAGCAGTAGAGTGGGGTTGGGGCCGTTCTGGGGTTTGGGAACCACTCAGGCAAGTGGTTCTTGGAGTCCTTTAGGGAAACGATGGCTCTTCTGAGGGGGGACGGGCCTCAGGCTTGGGAAGGGAGCATTTGCACCCTCTCCCTCGCAAGGTCTGTGTCCTTTCACCCGTGCTGGTGACAGGGTGTGGTCTGGGTGGGGAGGGGCTGTCCGAGGCCAGAGAACCTCCTTAACACCAAGGCTTCGGCCACCTGGGCTCCGGGTTGCTCCCGAGCCACTTCAGGTGCTGTGAGCGAGGCAGGCTGGGAGGGGGAGGCTACAGTTTGAAGGCCCAGGCAGCACCTCGGCCCTTCCCCATGGATGCTGTGTCTGACACGTGACCCGGGGACTGCTGACTACAGCAGCTTCCCAAGCATCTCCCCTTGGAGGTAGGGCCTCCATGCTTCTCTGTTCTGCACTGGGCGCTGGGGCTGGCCTAGACAGAGTCCCTTGCTGGATCCCTTTAGGCTTTACGGGTGAGCACGGCCAGGGCTCTACTGACTTGGGACCTTCAGGTTGTGGCCCTAAGTTGGCACTCACGTGGGACAGGGATTAGAGTTGGCCCCCACATTCTGTTCTTGGCCCCTCCCACCCCTGTTCCAGCGACCAAGCCCGGAACTCCTTACCCAGCTAGGCAGGCACCTATCACAGCTTCCCAGATGGGACGAGCGCAGCTGCCGGCGTGTCGCACCTGTACTGTGAGTGGTGACTTGAGCCTTGAGAAAGGAGGTGGCATTTTTCTTCTTACCTTTTCTCTCTGTCCCCTGCCCAGGAGGGCCCAAGCCTGGGGGCCTCAGTACAAGGGCAGGCTTGGGCCCGGGGAGCTCAGCCAGTCCATGAACGGGCGGGTGTCAGCCCTCTCTCTGCCTCTGCCTAGCCCTCCACGCAGCTGCCCAGTCAGCCTAGGTGGGGCCCCTGGGCTCCGTGTGTCCCCAGACCTGCGTCCCAGTCTCTCAGGCTGGCTGTCTTCGTCTTCTGGCCATCTCTGCCCTCCTTGGCAGTCCAGGCCCGGTGCCCCAGCCTCTCTCCTTGCCCACCTTGCTGCCCTAGAGGGCAGATAGTGCATAGCCTGGAGCCCAGCAGGCACCCGCGAAACAGGAAGAGCTGTGGTCACCGTCCCTGCGGCTTTGCTCTTCTTCGAGGGCCCTACAGGAGCAGGCTCCTCCTTCCCAGAAGCCGGGCCTCTTCCCCTTTCCCTCAGCCCCTGAGGCTGACGTGGCCCTCTTGGCCTTGCACTCACTCAGGCCCCCTCCTGGGGACAGCTTCCGCAGCTCGTGCGGTCCTGCGGCTCCCCAGGCCCCGGGCCGGAGCTGGAGGACGGCCTGCTGCTGGCTTCTTGCCTGTGCTCCCTTCCAGGCCTAACTGGTTCATTGGTGCCCCCCCAGCTTCGCTCTGCACTGGGCACTGCCCAGAAGGCCTGCCTGCCATCAGTCACCCCACCACGTTCAAGACCCAGCCCCTCCATCCTAATCACATCCATGAAAGCTGGGGCCTGGTGTTACTAGTCAGGAGTCATGTGACCTGACAGAGGTGGGACTGCAGCAGAGGCCAGGATCCCCTCCCCTCCTGACTTCCGCCCAGTGCACCTGTGGTCCTCGGCCTCCCCCAGGCAGAAGTAACCATGGCACTTAGGTGAATAAAAGCAATAAAGGGCCTTGCAGAGACCCAGGGGCTAATCACGGGGGAGGAGAGGTGGAGTCTTCTTTTCCGCTGTCTGCTCTCTGGGACTGGCAGCGGGGCCCTCTCCTCTGACCGCTGGAGCGTGTGGGAGGCCCGCAGGGTTCCCTGGGCGCTCCTCTGCTGGTCTTCCTCAAGGCATGGCGTGCTGGGGTGCTGGGGTCCGCGTGCTCAGGGGATCCCTGCATTGCCTCATGGGCGGGGCTGGCCTGCCGGAGCTGGTGTTGCCGAGCTGGATTTGGGGCTGGGTGGGGCTGCCAGGTAGGCCAGGTACTTTCTCATTCGGCCGCTGCCACCCCCTCACCTACCTCTCCAGACCGGTCAGATCAGCCTCCGCAGGGTCACTTGCTTCTGAGTCAACGTATCAGGAAGCTTGCAGAGGGGCTGCTGGCCGCCCCGTACACGAGTCCCTGTAGTGTTTTCACTGCTCCGAGCCCCTCCCCAGGGGGCCCCCTCCTGGAAGGGACGTGTCTGAGGCGCTCATGGAGCCTGCGGAGCTGCCGGGGCTGGCACTTGGCTTTTTCAGTGAGGATCCCAGGGAGGGCATCAAGCCCTAAGACATGCGAACAGTGGCATTTTCAGCAGCTGCGGATTGTTTGGGATGCTTCACACCCTGTCCAGCTGGCCTCGCTCACGGTTTCGGTTTCGGAGCTGCTCGCCCCGCCCACCTGCCTCCTGGCAGGATCCCCTCCGCTGGGACTTCCCTCCGGGGGCTGACACCAGCCCTCCAGGCCTTAGGCCTCGATGGTGTGGGTTCCAGAGTTCTCACAAACAGCCAACAGTTTTCCAGAGCGTTCTGTCTGCCAGGCCCTGCCCCCCACGCACAACACACGTGTTACCCCAACTCCCGTCGTTCATCCCCATTTTCTGGAGGGAGGCGCTGAAGTTCAGAGAGGTGAGCGACTTGCCCAAGGTGCATGGCTGGTGAGTGGCGGGGCTGGGATTTGAACCGAGGCAGTTTGACGCCAGAGCCTTAGCCTTGAAGTCACCGCATCGTGCCTCAGGCCAGGCCATGGGGCTGTGGGAGGGCCCCTGAGACTTGGCCCCTGGAAGGAGGCTGGCCTCGTCCCGCACAGCTGCCTGGCGGCCTGGGCTGCGCCCCCAGTGCCGCTCCGGTGTCCGCGTCCCTCTCCTGCCCACCCAGTGTCGTATGCCCGTGAGTGGACAGGCAGGGACCCCACAAGGCCAGTGCGCAAGGACCATGGTGGCCTCGGGGGCCACCTCAGAAAGATCGTGTGGTTCATCCTCAGCCTGTGAGCCCAGAGTGCCACAGGAAGGAAGCCAGGTCAACGAGTGGGTGTCAGGGCTGGGCCACCCGGGGCGGGGGGGGGGGCTCGGGAGGAGATCTCCTGCTCGCATCTAGGCCTTGGCCTGGGCAGGGTGCGGATGAAGGCACAGGGTGTGTGTGACAGCCTGCCTGGTGCGGACGGCTCAGTGCCTGCTGGGGAGGCCCACTTCCCCCACGCCCTGCAGTCCTCTGTCCGGGCAGGATGTGGCCGCTGTCAGCAGGGCTGGGGTCTAGGCCCCGACAGATCCTGGGGAGCCATGGAGGACAGAGGGCTCTGTGGGCGGGAAGAGAAGTATTTGTGCAGGGCCTTGAAGGAGGAGGACGAAAGGTCGGCTGGACACTCCTTCTCCTTTGCCCACACCTAAGGCCGCTGGTTGTGGTCCCCTCCCTCCGGCCCGCAGAGCTGGCTCCCAGCATCACCAGGACCTCGGTGGAGCACTGTTGCTGGGGTGCCCGGGGGCTTCCGGCGGTCTGGGCTGTCCTGCAGTCTGGGCTGTGCGCGGTCGGCCGGGCCTCCGTGACAGCGGAGGTCGGCACTGTCTGCTGAGGTCTGCACTTGGGGAAACTGTTTTCCTGCCTGGATCCCTCATCTTCCTCTCCCAGGGCCCCCTTTGGATTCTCCTGGGAGACCCCTGCAAGGGGCAGCAGGTGGAGCTTCTCAGTCTGCGGCCCCCTGGCTTCCTTGGGTAGCAGCCTGGCAACTGGCCGCTACGTATCCAAAGCTGTGGGCCACCAGGCAGGACCCCTAGGGGAGGGGTGTTCCCGCACCCC